CGAGAGCTACCCTCAGCTTGTATGACACTAATAGTATCAGCGTGTCAATAAACATTTTGTCGAGTCACACAGTTAATAAGATACGAATGTTTCTGCTATACACGTCTCTGGCAGCTCTTGTGCAAAATATTCGATGTAAGCGAACAGAAGCATCCGAAATTATGTAGAATTACAAAGCTAGGTATATGTTCATTGTAAGTAAGCGAGATGGCGTCTCGGCTGGTAGGCAAGATTATGATGATCGTAAACTCTGCGGCGTACGATAACGTCGAACATATGACACGAAAACTTGTTAGGCGAGAACATACTTATAAGTACACGTGTACACACAAACGTGCACGTTAGTAAAATCGATAGTCCGCAGAGCAGAACCTGATATTTTGTAATTCGCGATGCAGAAGTTGTTACTGGCTGATGGCCACAATGGGGTTCAATGAAAATTGTGACGGGTTGGAGAACGAAGACTTTTTTTTTATAGCGAGGTAGGCAAATAACTCTACCCCATCTGATTGATTGATTGGATTAAAGATTGCAGTATCTAAACGAGTGATCGTTTAGATACTGCAACAATGTGCATGTTACTTTTTTTTAAAATGAAAATCAATAGAGTATAACCCACACTAAAGAACCGGGATTAAATTATACGGACTGGAAAGATATAGTATATTTACATCGTGTACCTACTAAGCTGTTAACGCGTCAATGTTTCGTAACCATCGTGACGTAGCGTTACCTTTATTGATATTGACGTAAATGTGAAGCGATATAGCCTCAAAGAGGGCAAGTTGAAAACGTTCCGTAAAGTCATCTCTGCGGCATTCAGGGCACTGGGCCATGGCCGTAGTTAAACAGAAAACACGAAATGATTGTTTACGTCTGTGGTTAATTAAAAAAAAGATTGTTACCTTTGACTGAAAATGAAATATTTTTTTATCTCTAAGAGTTTTAATTCTCAGAATCTCTACGTGTATTTATTGCGGAATATCACTGAAAATTCAGAAATAATAACTAAATATTTTTTTATGAATTCCTACACGCCCACTGCTTTTGCAATTTGGAACATATCCTTTATAAGGAAAGAGTAAGTATTGCCAAGAAAATAATTCCTGAAATTCCCTCGTGCACGATTTCACAGACTAGTAGTAATAAGTATAAAAACAATTTACAGGTCGGCGTTTGCAAAAATCGGAAAGGGGTACTGTCGACAGGAAGGTATAAACAGTTAGATCTGATAGAGAGGAAAATGCTTCAATATTTTTGTACCGAGTGTAGAGCCATACCCATATTGAAATGAGGGTTAAATGACGGTGACAGGTAATGCAAACCAATCAATGCATTTACTCCCCGAAGGTATATTATTCAAAAACTCTTGAAATGTTCCAAAATGTAATGCATTTAAACAAAATATAATTACCATTTAAACAATATACAAAAACACATGCGTCGTTCTGTTTTCAAAGCTAATTAGCTAAAATAGTATCGTGCTATGCAAAATCAGTTTCTCATCAAGATATGAGAGTAAATATTATGTGTGAAGGGTCTGAATCTCATTGAATTAGTTCAATACGTAACTCATTGCTGTTTTAATTCAATCGCGTTCGATTAATAAATTGTTTCAATTAAATAAATTAGAGCAGTAAATTGGATTAAATACATTTTTAAAACATATTTAGCTATGCAAAATTATTTTGGTATGCGAAATAACATACGTCGAGGATTATCACGTTCGTGTTCCACCGTGACGTATCGCTGCTACGGATAATCGTGCTGAAAAATCATAATCAGCGAGTCTTGCACGAGTTGCTGTTTTCTGCGCGGTTGCTTTTATCCCCGGGCGGGCGCATTTTCTACTTCAAGTGCTTACGTGTTCCATCCAAGTTTCGTGAGAGCATATTTTCCTTCATAAAAGTACATCTCCCAGAGAGCAGTTTTAACACATCAATACAGGATGGCACAGATGTAAAGTTTTAGGAGTGCGCGTGTATGAGTGAGCACTGGCGGCTTGTCACCGTCTATAGAAACAAGGGTATTTGCCAAATTTTAGGAAACGATCTCACGTTATTTACAAAATGTTTATGGAGTCTATAAAAAGTGATATTTATCATTCTGTTATGTATATCGTTAAAAAAATAAAATTAAAATCCATTGTTAGGTGGCCGCGATAACATTTCTCTGGACATTATGGCGTCTCGCTGGTATGTGACTTCACACAACTGTCATTAAAACGTCAAACTAGTTTACTACGACGAAGTTTACTAGCGTGTGACGTCATTTTGGTCTTCGCTAATCCCAGGCGTTTTCAGTCATGGACCATAGAATAAAAAAAAATCTCTTAATTATTTTTTGGAAAAGTTATTAAGAATTTGTTTTTTCGGAAAAGTAAAATCGCTGCTTAATATATTCATGTTAAATACACAATGCCAAAATTGGTACTTTATTTTTCAAACTGTCAAATTGTTTATTGTATGAAACTTTGTTTCTGTGCCTTCTTTACTCATGTAGTTTAAATAAGGAATTTTCAACGAACTTCGCAACGGGAAGGCGTACGCGCCAGACTTGGTTTCCTTGTCATCTTCGAAGCGCCGGGTTCAATTTCCGGTTATATCAATTGCAGGAAACGAACTTTTCTATATTGTCTTTAAGCTGGGTGGTTACGTTGTTCGTGATTTTGATAACACAATTGTCTTACTGTTTTATCTGGTGATCAGAATGCTAACCTTTATAAAATAATAATAATAATAAATAAATATTTCCAACACTCACACCAATTAGCCTAGCCCCAAAGTAAGCACTGTAAGGCTTGTGTTATGGGATACTAGGGTAACGGATAGAATACATATATAACTATATTTATATAGAAATAAATATTAAACATCCATGACTGGAGTAGAAATGCTCGTATTCATCATACAAACATTTGCCCTCACCGGGATACGAACCCGGGACCTCTCGAGTCGGCGACACCATAAAACCCCGTGTATAAACACTCGGCCACGGAGGTCGTCATATAATATTATAAAGAGGAAAGATTTAATAGTTTGTTTGTATGATAACATCGATAGTGTAACGTAATGTGTGAAAAAATAACAATAAAGTAACATTATATCTCAAGTTAATTATAAATTAAGTTAAGTAATAATACAAATATGCTACGAGGTTTGTGGCTGTCGAGGGCGTTATGTGAAAACTCTTTTTTCAAGAAATCCTTAAGATGCTTATATCGACTGTTTCTGTCTGTATTTGACTTCAGTAGTCAGTATTTCTGGTAGATATGTATTAGGTGGGGGAACCTGTACTAATGTTGTCCCTTCCACTATGAATGGCTCTCTCGCATTAACACTAAAATATTTTTTTTTTAATAAACTAGTGGCTCGCCCTCACTTCACTTCGGTGTAGACTGTACTGCTATAGGCTATATAATATCACGCTACGACCAGTAGGAGCGGAGCATCGATGAAAAATGATGCAAAAACATGTAGAAATGTTCCATTTGCGAGCTCCCGTTGCATGTGCTCTGTAAACGGTTAAAGTTACACTAAAATCAAGTATGACGGAATTGTTTCCTTTTAAAAGTTCTATAAAAAAATTCGCGGCAACATATGCCCATTTTATAAGTTTGACTCATTATAACATTTTTTCCTCAAGTTAACGCAGGTGAAACCGCAGCGAACCTCTAGTTGTGACATAACTGTAATAGTTAGACATATGGTATTACGGATTAATTGTAGATATTTATGTCCTCTTTAAAACTTTAGTACAACCCTTTGCTTTATTGTCAATAACTTCCGCAGCGTACGCGATAAAAGGTTAGTTTTTGGTATTTTTTTCGAACGTAACGAACTGTAACCCAATTACATTATCAAAGTTCTCATACAGAACCTTAACTTTTTTGAAAATACCTATGCCTAAATATATATATATATATATAGCCTATGTTCATCAGGGATAATTTAGAATTCTAAATATGAAATAATTTTTCAACTCGGTACAGTAGTTTCGAAAGTTATTCAATACAAACAAACAGAAAAACAAACAATCAAATCTTTCCTCTTTATAATATTAGTATAGAAATATTGAACGTGATATCTTTTCATTATTCTTTGATGGCGATTCTTCAATCTTTAGGAGAAATTTCAGTCCTACAAATAGCATTTTTTGAAAAAACAAAGTTTGATTGGCTCTGGTTCGTACATACTACGAAGAGGCAGTTTTATTTAAGCATTGTGGGATAGGTGTTGATAAGCACGTTTATTTTCTATGTTTCATTTTATCGAAATATTCAGTAAAATATAACTACTACATAGATGAAAATTGTAATTTAGCAGAGCTTCACCTAAAGTTCAACAAAAAATCTAAGTATGTGTGCCAACCTCTAGTATGTCAATCAGTATACATTTAAATCTTTTTTTGTTGATTTTGAAATATTTTAATGCATATTAATATTAAGCATTTTAAAGTCGTTTTATCTTGATACTTATCCCCTATTTAAAAGGAAACATATTCAATAGAAAACTAATACTGAATGAACAGGCAAACAAAAATTCTGCCATAAGGGTCAATTATTATAAATAGTCTACCCTACATATGAATATATCAAGGAAATGAAACATGTTTCGGATTTTTTAATTTTTGATTGTATTTAGTTTGCCTTTCTGAGCTATTACGTGACCTATATCTAGCAGAAAAATACATCAAAGGAAGCAAATACGGTCAAAAGTGGACTAATTAAACAAAAAATGTAGTAAATAGATGTATTGTAAAGTGTAATTTTTCAGAATTTTTCAGGACAGGTTTTGATGCATCTTTGTACTTAAGTGTAGTTGAGGCACTCCTTCATAAATACTACAACGGTATCAGTATTGGTTCTTGGACCACTTTTGCCAAGTTTCTTTTTTCGTGTGTATTTCCACTTTCGCAGTGGACGGCGGGAATTTCATAGGTATATTGTCAATACGAGGTAGCATAAGAAAGGCTATTATTTTAAAAAGTATTTTACTCACTCCAAGCAGGTGCTGGCACGATGAGGCCGGATATCATATCATCAGATATGACCGGAGGATCACTCGGCGGCGGTGGGCACACCAATGAGTCTATGATGTCATCGGTAGCAGCGCGCATCATTCCAGACAACTCGGGTGGCTCAGTGCGCGAAGACCTAGCAAACAATATAGTATCCATAATCTTGGAATGATCCATTCGTGTTAAGAGGGTGGCAAAGAAATACCTATTTATCAGCCTAACGATAGGCAAACACCATAGATGCTTGTGAAACTTATGTACAGGCATACACACCTTCTCAAGAACGGAATCTTGATAAACTTGGGCCAATACCTTTTCCACAACAATATGGCTCAGTCACTGCATGATAAGTAATTTCCCACTAAACTATAACTGAAGCCGAAAATATCCCACGTTGTATCCTATTATTCATTTCATTAAGCTTTATTTGTATAGATAAAAGGGGTTGCAAAATATACAATATGGTGTAAAACACCCAAAAACATATGTTGAAGATAGTCATTTGTTATTTACGGGATTGCTACCGTCTACCTAGTTTTTAGCGAGTTTCCAATATTTCGGCACTGTTGCAAGCGCCATGACCACGGAGTAGTATGGTAGCAATCCCGTAAGTAACATAAATTACTATGAAGTTCCTTTTTTACCCCCTAAAGGTTCTAGCTTTCAATCTCGGTGGCGAGCAGCATGGTATCTGTGTGATGAGCTTGTTATTGGTTTTTCATATCAATTGTTCTATACTGAAAAATAATTTGAGAAAGTTATCTGAATCGATTTCTTGTAATGTAATTATTATACTGACAGGATTTATATCTTCTCAAAATATACCAATGTTTAATACTTAGAACGAGTTATCTTTAAAGATTAACGTAAATAATTAATTTCTCCGAGTGCCTTTAATATAAATTAACATATATAAATGTTCATGCAAACGTTATACGAAGTGGATACGGCGCAGTCAAGAGTAAGCGATTAATTCCGAGATTTGGAACATTTCAAACAATCCATAATAATTATACTTGTCAACATTTGTTTCAGTTGTAACGCAGTGTTAGAATAAAGATGATATTGTTACCAAAGTTTTTTGGTATTCCAAACTTCTGATGGACATTTGAAATCTTTGTAGAAACGATCAGCAATAAATACGTATTATAAATATTTCACGGTAAGATATTTCTAATTTCTATATGGTCTTCATTTATATTCAAACCATTTGAGATTTATTTGTGGATATAGAACGGCCTATAAATAGGTGGAAAATGTTGAAAGCGTAAACTAGATATTCATTGACAATGACTACACATAAAGAGGACGTGTTTAGCATTTAAAATAATTATGTCTGATTTTCAGAATGAATATCAGGTATTCAATGCACAAGGTGAAACTATATCCTGACAGATAGTCTTCGATTTAATGGATGGAATATGTATCAAATAGGTTGCATTCGGCAATTGAACATATATCTACTGATGCGCTAAATGTCAGTCATGTGTAAATTTCTAAATAATTTAGATATTTTTTGCCTTTATCCTGTTGACGTTAATTGTTTGAATACACGTTTTCATACATGATTTAATGAAAAAAGTTAACAATAGTTACATTCCCCTACTTTATTGCGATATTAATCGGCCATAAAAACAACGACATTAGAACGATGCTTTTTCACAAAGAACCAGACAATGTCATTTTCCAATATTTAGTCCAAACAAGAAATGTGTAAGTAAGTGTATAAAACTAAACGATGTGAACGTAATAGAACAGTAATATATCAAAGTATTTAAATGACAAATAAAGACGGAACATGTATAGAAATAAGATTGCCTTTAGGACAGGTAGCGAAAAAATTTGGTGTGTGATAAATCTTTGGCACTTTTTCAGAGAAAAGAATGGACGGGCACATTCACGTGGGTAGGTTTTACACAAAGAAAACTCAGTACACGCATGTGAGCAATGAGCTCACGTTTTGTTTGGCTTTCCGACAGAAGCGTGACGTCGAATAAAGTAGGAGAATGTTGAATAGCATTGGCAATTGCAGTACCAACGATATCAATGAGTAGCTCGAGGTTGCTAACAACGTTATGAATACAGAGTATCCGCCTTTTGTGTCAGCGCCGAGGGTGAAACTGAGATATTAGCATCACCGTAATTATTCTCTAAAACTTAACTTGAAACAATGAAAGCGCTCCGGCTCAAGACCGGAACGGTTATATCGTATGGGTGTTGGGAAGATGAAACAACTCCCCAACAATAATAATATCGTGTCGCGTACTTGTTTTGAGACGACATTTGTTGGGGAATATTAATTCATGCGGCCGGCGGCGGCGCACGGTTACTTCGTCGCGAGCCTCAATTGCGGCTATTCACAATGGACGCGGTAAGCTAGTAGGTGCTGCCAACCCCAGCGTACTAAACTGTGTCACCTGTATACCCTAATGATACGATTCGACAATAAATAGACCATTGTGTCACCCTATAAATTAATAATTATGTCATTTAAGATTAATTACAGCGTAAATTTAACCCTCATATTAACTTGAACAAACTGACAAGTTGTGCTGATTGGCGTTTAAATAAATAATAATAAAAAATCTAATGGAATGGGAATACCGACAAAATATATATTGGATTGCTCTTTTTCTTTATTTTTAATTAAAATAATTAATTAATTTCGTCGCTCCTTATAAAAAGAATATTATTTTCCGACATCATTTCTTTTTTTAGGGCAACAATAATGACAAATACGAATAAAAAACACTGAATTGTCAGTAAACCAAAACTTGTTAATACCAACTGCGGACGATATGAAACTAACTAAATAATTGCAATATCTTGCAGGAGCGACTAATAAAAAGGCTTGATACTTCAGTTGAAATTAGTGCAATATCGAGTTAAGTACAACTACTTAACTTAGTAAGCTCACATCTAGGTACTGCACTACAACTAGTGCAGTACCTAGATGTGAGCTTACTGCATAGTGTATATTGTTTTGCGGTTGGCAACGCTGAGCTTCTGTTACGAGTCGGAGCGGCGAGGGTGTATATAGGTCGGAGGGAGCGCTTCGGTAAACTTGTCGCGGTCGAAAGGTCAGGTGTATGAGGGCGGGAAACGTCGATGAGGCCACACCGCCAAGTCTGAACACGACGGTTCCTCAACTTCCGCTTTATTAGGTCCGACGCTGCTGGTTTCCGTCGACTATCGATATTTTTATCACCGAAGATTTCCCCGCCCTCGGTTTATTCTAATTCGATGGTAACGAATGCGACGCTGCGCACCCACTGATTAATTAACTCGATTGAGGAATTTTCAGTTAAATAAAATAAGCTGTGTCTGATTGGTAGATAGGTACGGCTTGTTGTCGATTCACGAGTAAATAACGATTTCCAGCAATCTTGTACTAATGAATTAAATATGAAACAGGTGAAAAGAAGTATAATTGATGTATTTCCGATTCGTTAATTAAACGGTGGATAAACATAATAAAAGATGATATGGATATAACTTTATTACGCTTCGATTGGTAAGAATTTTCAGTTATAATATTTTATTACTTTTTTAAATAAAGTACTGATGAAATGTTTGAATTTTACACTGATTGTATGAATGAAGTTTTTTGGGATATTAAAAGAGCAGTGCTTACCTCATCATCATGACGAGAGAGAGTTCCTCTTGCAGTACGCTCTCCAAGTACATCATATCTAGGTCAGATACGATCGCTCCGTTGATCACCATTATCTCGTCGCCTTTGATTATGCCTGGCACAGAATACAAATTGTTAGCTGGAATGATTATTTTTTGCTTTGCCTAAGCAGGAAGCGCAAGAAATGAAAAGATATTAAAAAATATTTAAACAGAACTGGTACTTAAACTGGTATCGTATTGATTACAATGAAAAAACGCGGCGAGATTTAATGAAGAAATATTGTTCTACATCTATTGTGGCGTAACACAATAGGGACCAGGTATTCTATTCTTTGTTTTTGTAACATTTTTGGAAATTAAATATCTGCATCATATTGTTTTTTTTCCTCTAAACAATGCGAAGATGTAATTAAAGCGACCTTGAAATAAAACAATTTGTTAACATCATAATTGATGAAAAATAAATTAGAACCTGTTAAAACTCGGTTTACAATCGAGTTAATTTTTATTAATTCAACTAGTGGCCCGCCCTCGCTTCGATTCGGTGTAGGCTGTAGTGTTTACTATAGTTTTTGTTCTCAGGCTTGTATTATAGACAATGAATTTTTTTATATAATTATAAACCTTCCATGAAAAACGCAAAAAAAAATGTTCACTATTAGTTAAATAATAGTGAACATTTTTTTTTGCGTAGTTTAGGACCCATTGTACCGAATGCACTACTATTTTTTTTTGGTTTAGCTGTGAATATACCTTTTTCAGAATCACTCACCATTTTGCATTGCAACACTTTTGTCTTCAACCCGGCTCACGTAGCAGCACAGCTCGTCCTGTCGCTCAGCATTTTCTATCAGTTCAGCCTCTACGCTAAATCCCCACATTTGTTCGAGAGTGTTCCGCTGAAGTTCCACTTGGTACAGAATCTTTGCGCATACCTCTACCACTTCATGCGTGTGCAACTAATAAGGAAAATAGAAAACATTAAGCAGTCTTTGCCAAAAACTATAAAATTTTACTTTATTTTAAATAACGTAGCATTTTGGGTAGATGTTAAAGAATTTAATCTCTATTTTGTACTGCAATGTAAATGAATTGGTTTGGGGATTTCTTGGTACAGGAAGGGGAAAATTTTTTGTTCAGGAAAATTCGCATTAATTGCTTATCTTTTTACAAACTCTTTACAGGATTAATGGAGTTTCAGTAGGTAGGAGTTAACTGAAATATTTCTCAAATATTATCTCTTATTTCATATAGATTTGTATAAGAACAAGAAATTAAAGATTAAGTTTTTTTTTCAAAGTTAAAATCTATTTTCTATCGCCCTGTACTAAAAAGAATATTGAACCAGTTTTTTTATGTACTAGTACTGTAGTTGTGATATAGACGTTATGGTTCTGTAACTTAACGTGTTTCAATGTATCATCTGTCAACAGATGGCGTAAGGTCATCTCGACACGGTTAGAAGAGCAATTATAATATGTAGTCCTGGCAACACAGATTATGTACATTGGGCATAGTGACAGTCGGTCGGCATGGTGCGACGGGTCACTACAATTGATGATAGGGATTACAGTAGGGTTCCCGCGGGATAGAGGAAGCTCCTTCATCATACAAAATACTGAAATTCAAATTATGATTTACGCTTCTCAACTAAATTTTAATTGCAAACCATAATTCAATGCTGGTTTTAAATGAAAATTCTGATTTTGCATTATTAAATTACCCGCGGAATTGATGAAGCCTAGCTAGAGGATAAATACAATTATTATGATAATTATATGAGAAGACGTACAGGTTCTATAATCTTATTCTTAGCGAGAATAAAGGGGATAAGCCAAATCAAAACTAATCTTCTGTCAGACCTCAATCAAACGGGAATCGCCGTACTCAAATAGTATCCCAAATCAACGGGCTATGAGAAATAAGGAAACTCAATAAAACTGCGACCTTCACTAAACGAACGAGTCCGCCCCGAAATTTAACTCTTATTTACTTATTTAATAAAGTAAAATAACTTCTCGGGGTTATTTACATTCTAAACTCGTTGTTTGAAGCGACTGCGACGTAACTTTTTGATAACTCCTATACAGTATTGCGTATACAATTTTCCGGCGTTATAGATGTGTGTGCTGTCAGACCCTACTCACCCGAATCTCGGTCACAAAACATTTATATTTTTACATTGACTTCCTACCGTAAATGTTCTATGAAGAGATTTAATTAAAAAATTGGCCCACGTTTGGTCGCGTTTCACTTGATATTTTAATTTTGCACGCACCGTAAATACGCGAATCTTACTCTCCAGGTTGCTTGATAAAATGTAAATGAGTGTTGTTTTTTTTTAAGAAATCGCTCCACTGGGGGCACACCGACGAGCGGAATAGCGACGTTAACTTAATTACTTCGCTTGTTTTTAGACAGAAGACAATATTGCAACGATTACTCTACTCAATTCCCTATTTCCACTTAACATGTTTTAGCAAGTGCTCTTGGCAATAGATTTAATTAAAATACGCCCAAGACTCTTGTAAGACACTTTACTATCGTATCGAATAATATTAAATTCATATTCGGTAAACATCTTCCGCGGTACTTAGAGGAAATGATTAAATTATAGTCCATTATTGAAATATAATTATAAATACCACTCGAGACATATTAAATAACTTAGACGTTCAACTACTGGTCGCTGTTTTATTTCTTTTAAATTACTTAAATACATTTATTATGATCAATGAAAGACATTAATATTATAAGAAAAGAAAATATATAGGATGAAAAAAATATACTGCTTCACGCAGGATATTTATTATTTTCTTACATACACACATCAAAAAAAGTTTGTGATGACTTGCAAAAGCTAATATATTTTCAAAATTTAACTTAATTGAGAGCAAATGTTTACGTTATATCTTATTTTATTTAAAAATACTCTTTCTGATATTAAAAAATAAAACCAATTTCATTTTTTTAGTATAAAAAAAATAATATAACAATTCAATCCTAAGGCGATTGTAATAGAAATTTTTCTTTGATAGAAATAAAAAGATAGTTTAACCAAACTTAAAACTTTTATATCTTATTTTATTTAAAAATACTCTTTCTGATATTAAAAAATAAAACCAATTTCATTTTTTTAGTATAAAAAAAATAATATAACAATTCAATCCTAAGGCGATTGTAATAGAAATTTTTCTTTGATAGAAATAAAAAGATAGTTTAACCAAACTTAAAACTTTTATTAATAAATTGTTGTTTATCTAATACAAAATAACTCCTCCTCCGGCTCGAACACATGCGGAGATCCTCCTGGGCATGCTGAGGATCAAGTTATCCAGCATTTCTTGTGGTAACCTGTCCCATTCTTGAACAGCTGCTTCCCTGGGCTGCGGTACTATCTGGGGTGGAGGCTACCGGTACCAAACAGCACGCTTAAGATCACCCCACGCGTGCTCTATTGGGTTTAAGTCAGGTGAGCCGGCAGGCCAGTCTAACCTTGTGATTTCGTATTCTCGGAGAGCAGCATCGACTCTTTGAGGTCGATGTGCGGGCGCATTATCGTTAACCAGTACAAATTGGTACCCATAGTTTACTCGGAAGGGTCTGACGATTCCATTAAAAGCGACTGTTTTGTATCTGTCTGCCGTCATGAAGCCTTGATAAGGGGTTAAAGACGTCCTAGCCCCAATCATAATACCGTCCCAAAAAGGACACTAATTTCCCGCCTTGCTGAACCGTTCCAATGGCCGTTCTCTGCCTTTCAGTCTCCAAGCCTTCTCCAAACACGGACACGTCGGTTATCTGGATGAGTACTGATTCGCGATTCGTCAACGAAGAGGCAGTTTTGCCAAATATTTTCCTCTTTGTCTTCTTCGTTTTGCCGGAGCCTAGCCCACTGTAATCTCCGTCGCTGACGTTCCCGTGAATTCAAAGGTGCTCACCAAGACCTCCGTGCTCGTAATCCAGCCTTGTGTTAGCAATTCCGAATGGTCTGAGTACTAACTTCAAGTTCGGAGGCGGCCCGTATTTCTGCTTTTAATTTAGTGGCGCTTATTGTTGGGTCGCGAGCTACCAGCAACCTGATGTAGCACTTCTGAGCAGCTGTCAAAACAGTTTGCCGATCGCTACGGGGTCGATCAGCTAAATTACCCATGTCGTGGTAACTGTGCAACGTGGTTACTACACAGGATTGGGATATGGCAACTCTGCGTGCTATTTCTCTCGTAGAATAGCCTTCTTCCCTCAAAATTACAATTCTAGCTCGTAAAACATCTGATTAACCTCGTGGCATTTTTTAAATCACAACTTCCAGTGAAAAAATATTTTAAATTCGATATTATTGACTAAGTAAGATTTCTGAATGAGTGTCAGCTTGGATTGCATGTCTTTTTATATGGGAAAACAATTGAATTATTTTATTGTTTTACATTCTAACTCTAATTTTAAAATTTAGTATCTTATTAGAAAAAGAAATTTATAAAATGTCTTCTGTAACACAAAATCAATCTTTTCAAAGTGATCGCAAACTTGTTTTGATATGTGTATTCGCATATACATTTTACTTATTTTCCTGTACTAAGTACAAAAGTGTGCTACACGTAAACGTTACGTATAAATTTCATTATAGATTGCGTATTTACGAACACCTCAAATTAATCGCTATCGAGTTTCAAGTCACATAATTTAGTCAGAATATATTACGCGTATTATTGTCTGACGTTTAAATTAACGTGCAAACTTAATCGTTGCCACCAATCTAGCGGTGACGGGAATAACTAATTTCGACTTTCATTTAATAATCAGTAATTGATATATTATAATTGAATACATTTAAATAGCACAAACTTAATAACTACTTAGAATACATATTACCTTAACCTATTTACCTACGTAAATAAATAATTAAATTGTAATAGTATTTAGGCAAACAAATTTCAATCTGATAACTGAGTTTGCGACGTATATTTGTCAAAATGCGATAGGGACGCACGACTCCAACCGAATTTATAATTACCATGAACTAAAAGGCAAAAGTCGTACCGTCATGTGTTCGCAATTATTATGAAAATATGAGTAAATCAAAGTACGGTCACAGTCTACAAATGTTTACCAATTTTATAATTAGATCTTGTAACATATCATCTGTTATTAAGACTTAAATGTATTGATATCTACTTATGAACATTTTAATCGTAAGTAAGTATCGATTCTGAGAAAAACAATAGTAATTAGTTTTCGATGATAAATTTCACTTCTTAACTTAAAAAATTACACATAAGCGTAATTGCGTTTGCAATGACATTCGTCAAAAATATCCACAACCTTATCAATATCTTTATATATATAATTCTTCTGTGAGTGTGTATGTCACTGAACTTCTCTTAAACGACTGGACCGATTTTGATGAAATTTTTTGTGTGTGTTCAAGGGGATCTGAGAATGGTTTAGATTCACAATTTTGTCCGCTGGACAATGTTTTTTTAATTAATTTTTAATTTATTAGTAGTTGTTGATTTTGGAATGTTTTACATTGGATCCGACAGACGGCGCTACCATACTAGACAGGACAACGTCTGTCGGGTCCGCTAGTTATCTTATAAAATAATATTTAACAGCTGGTTCGCTAAGAAATTTAACTCTAAATTAAACGGCACGTTTGACTGTGGTACAAAGAGCTGAAATATTATTTATCCATGAAGATGGCTTGAACATTAGTGCTATGTCACGAGAACTTAATATTTCTCGATACACAGTGAGATTTTGGATTCGGCGTAGTGCCGAAGATGGGGAAATAAATGATCATAGAAACATTTCAAGACAACGGCCGATATTAATCACTGCACAAATAACTGATCTACGTTTATATGTATTTCTAGCTAACTATACTTATAGTATCCGTTAACTAGTATAACCGTTGCCTTAGTCTCCCATAAACAAGCCTTACAGGTACATACTTCCGGGCTAGGCTAATTGGTGTGAGTGCTAGATTTTTTTTTATTCATTAAGGCTTTAAACAGATCAATGTATTTGAGTAAATCGAATTTGAAATGACGTAACCAGGCTGTATACAGTCATGTAACAAACATCTTATCTGAGTACCTAATAACTCCTTTAATCAGCACACTGGCACAGATGTTTAAAGACGAAGTGTACACTCACGTATGTTTCGATGAGGTCGCTGCGATGGGGCACAAAGTAATTGTGGTCCTCCATGTCTCTGCGCTTCTTGACTCGCACGAAGTGTTCGAGCGCGTTTAGCGAGCGGCGGGCGCACGCTGCCGCTAGGAATTCCTCAACGGACATGCCCTCACGCACGCCCACTGTGGCGGTCGTTCCTTCCGGCAGTGACACCCGTACAGCTGCTTCTCCATCTTCGCGAGACATCTGGACACAAGGAAATTCGAATGTCTAACCCTGCGTAGGAGGAGACCGATGTCGCAGATGTTTAGCGCGTTCGCTCTGCGATCGTGGAAGTTAAGCAATTTTCGCAATGACTGGTCATTAGATGGGTGACCAAAAAACTTAATATCTCGAGCTCTTCCCTTTCTTCGGAATGCATGCTAAGCCGTTGGTACCAGATGTATCTGCAGTCCTTAGATCCACCATTCCCCACTGGGCCATTAGTATATTATCATTAATATAAGTTGAAATGTGTTTTATGAAACATAAGCCTTTATTAATCCAATATTTATATAAAAATATTTTTTTACAAGTAAATGTAAATAGAATTAAATCATAACTTATGGTTAATTTAACACTTAATTTCTTTGTTTCCATAATTTAATATTTCATAATTGGTTGTGGGCGCATCGACTTTGCTATGATATATGAGTATTGTTATGTCTATGTCCTGATTTCTCAACCATAAAAAAAACTATCTTTTTTATGTTTCGACCCTGTTTTTCTCTCTCTAAAATATCTCGATATCAACGTCGGTCGACTTAACTAGCTTCACTATTTATTATAGCGAGTCTGATTTGTCGCGGAGGCGTTGTTGTTTCTAAGGCTTTTCATTAAGTAGGTACGTTGATAAAATATAATAACATTCAAAAATACTATTTTCTTTTAATTACTTTTCATTTGAGTCAAACCAAAAATGCTTTAATTACATTTTAAAGAATATTGTTAAGAACTCAGTACCCACTGTAATATTAGTAGAGACACAAAAGTATAGTTTTTAAATAATCAAATATCACTCCAGGTTCCCGTCAATATTAACCGTTACTGTTTCTTTAAAACTAATAAAAAAACGTTATTAATTCGCATTATTTAACCCTATTAAATCCTTAATGATGATTTTGCAAACATTGTTCTTAATAGGGTATTCCTAAAAGCAAGCGTAATAACAATTGAACATGCTTTTAGATATTATATATTAGTCTCAATTTATGTCGGCGAAAGAAAACCAAGAAAACAGCCAGTTTCATAAAATAAACATGTTTAATATCTGTTTAATTGAATAAGTTTTAGTTCAGTGTAGTTTAAATTCCGAACTTAATGAAATTACAGAGCAGTGGAAGTAATAAGTTTATTAATTAAAACTAAGATTTTCTTTCATATCTCCTTCGGATTTACGAGTACTCACTTCATTAACACTTGGGCGCTTCCTTGCTTCTTGCCAACAGTTTGTTTATCCGAATGCAACCAACTCTTAAGGTAATCAAGTTAATCTAATTTAATATTCAGCCCTTTCAAGTTTCTCATTTCTATGTGAAAATCTGTCCTTAAACTATTTTGGGTTAGTGGTATGAACCACTTACCACAAATAGCCTCAAGCAGTTTGAAGTGGGCAGGGTTTATACTCTGTATACTTTGTTTTGATGCATAACTTAAACATAATCTAACTGTACTTCATCTATAGTTTTACGGCTAAAAATAATACAGGTAAAATTATCCCAACTGTTCATGAACTTGATAGAAGTAAAGGGATCAGAACAATAATACATAACTAGTTTATTATATTTTAATGGAAAAATATTTGGACATAAGAATGTTCTCTTATTTGTTAAGAAAATATTTTTACTTCAAAAAGTGAACTTGCTTCAGTTACTTATTAGACAGCCAAAAACTAATATCATATTATGAATGAAACGTAAATTATTCAAAACCTGACTTTATTGATAATAAAAATAGGCGCGTAATTAGCTTCACTTCTTACAGCCAGTTTCAATAAATTAATCTCTAATAAGAGATAGGCCTTCTAGAGCTTGAATACATTTCAAGCATAAATGCTAATTACACAATAATAGTATCAAAAATCGAACATTAAAATTTTGGGTATCTCCTACCCGCCTCATAGCTGGTTTAACAATTTCTCACCTCATTCACGTCGCGGTAAAAGCCTAGATATTATTGATGATTTGTTCAAAATAAAAGATGTTGCTGTGAAATTTAACCTGAACAAGGTTATCTTTTATTGGAGCTTGATTATTGAAAATACTTATTAATCTGTTAATTTAATGAACTTATCTTTTTAAATATCAACTTAAGCTAATGTTTGGATAGGCCAAATCAACTAAGATACGTTTTAAATATCAAAATTATACATTTAACTAGTGGTGTAGGGAGGCGTTTAACCCGAGTTCAGTAAAACGGCGTTTAGATAAAAATCCTAGCAGCAGCTTAAGCTCATATAATACAACATATTAAAAACATATTGTTATTTGTAAACCAACATACAAAGGTAAGATATGCCACGGAAACACGAGTGGCAGACGGAAATAATGCTCACAGTGTTGATATTAATCTTCCTGGATGCTATATCGGGAAAAAATATAATGGGAGGAAAATGCACATTTCTTCTATTCACACTGCTGACATTAAATATTATCGTCGGCAGATTGAATATTTATGTATTACTTATGTACAACGAACCACATACCTACCTCGATCAGTTTCGTTGTATTCGATGAAATACTTGTGCCTCAAATAAGCTATGGTACTTTTTTTTTCTTTACAGCTTAGGCACCTAATTGATTAAAAGTAAGAAGTTAAACCTAATAGTTATCTGCAGCGGTGTCTGGCAGTACTAAATAACATAAATGGTGAACGTGTCCGAAGTTTCAATACGTTTAAACTTTGTTCTGAATTTCGTTTCTCTAATTTTTTTATATTAATATGAGAGATTTGCTAGGAAAACGTTGAAATCATGAGTACCTAATATTAGTGTGATAAGAAATATTTATGGTGACCACTCATATCTATAGTACGACAAACGTATAAAAATATAATTGAAACAAGAGATAAAATTGTTTATGAAGGAAGCAATTTCGAAAACTTCCTCCATATTTTCCTAATATGCTTTATTGATTTGATTAATGTGAACATATTTTTATTTTCGACCCTGATCCTGAAAAAATGCAATCAGAGCGGAATTACTTCTGAAAATCCTTACAATCTCGGCTGGAATTCCGATACCCGGATTTCACAGTTGGTTTCCCAAGGGAATATCAACATGTGCCTCCAATATTAAGGGCTGGAAACGTCCCACTTCTTCAATATAATCTTTGGATAATTTGAAATAATTTTGACAATCTGAAGATTCAATGTAACCTTAGGATTGGGTAACAATGTTAAAGGATATTAAATAAAAAACAAAGTGATGGGGCCTGGAAGGTTCTGACCTACTAAATGTTAGATGGGGAGCGAAAGAAAAACAGAGTGTACCAGCTACTAAAATTCTTGGGAAGTTAAAGTTCATCACAAAATACGGAGTTTTATAGAAAAATAGCAAAATCTATGGAAAATATTTATAATGCTTATGTTAACAGTGATGTTATGATCTATATATTGCATTGTTATTTTCCACTGGTAATATATAATTTTAAATGGTACTTCATTGTTCGGGTTTGCCTTATTATTTTGTTCCTGAAATTCATTCGAACTAATATGATCTTCAACGAAAATACAATAATGGTGGTTATTTTCATCCTTATTCTCACATAATATTTTTGTTATCAGGAACTGGGATATTCTGATCTTACAAAATCTAATTAAAATACTTATAATTATTTGTTGAACTTTCATTGTGTTTCCGCAGATTGTTAACAATGAAATATCATTGTTAAATTTTCACATCCAGCGTTCATTTCATCAAGTTACATTTGGTTTAATATTTTGACATTTAATTTTAATGCTCTTAAAAGTATTTTTTGTTGTTATAATAATGGTATTCGATAACGATTTGGTAAACATTTAAAAACGAGTAATGAGATTCTATAGTTTAAAATAAAAATGATGAGCAAGAATAGAAAAGCAAGTAGAAGGTTCACCATTAAAAACTCGTGTACGAAAAATATGAAACAAACTTTAAAAGCGGCTTATGCTTGTTGTAGGGATTTAAAAATACCGACGAGCTTATGGAGCTTTCCCCATAATTTTGCGTAGTCCGGTTCTGTTGTAATTCCGATTCCATTTCAAAATGTGTGTGTGTGTGTGATTTTCAGATTTTAAAAAGCAATGTTGTTTTGTACTGCGCTCGTTACGTGTGATGTCAGCTTACTTGCAGATCGTGACCTCGCAGCGCAACCCAAATCAGATTGGATTGGCGACGCCTGGACGTGACATGAGTCCTCAATCAAGAATTGTTTACACCAATTTAGGTTCCATGCAAGAAGATCGCTTATCTTACATTAGCGCTCCGACGGATTTATTTTGTTAAGCACTCTAGCACACCCCCAAAACAAATTGAGAAACTAATGATCCTCGTCTTTATAATAATTTTTGATTTGTGCATCTCAAACATATTATATCTGTTTTAGATCTTAATTTTGTATGTAGTTCTAATATAATTTCAATGAACGAATAAATAAAACTCCAATAGATATAGGTGATATTATATTATTAAACGGTTTTCTTTTCAAACAATTAATCAGGTTCGATTTTGAGCAACTATATTATATTTTTTTTGTTATTTTCTACCGCAATACGTGTGATAATAGAATAAAAAATTACAATTTCTTAAATAAGTAAAGGTATATCAAATTTCTCGAGTGAAGAATAGACTTAGGTAGGTAAGCATTTGCAAGTAGTTAAGTGGTTCACGTGCATTGACGGGGAACTTTCATAATGCAAGTTAGTTTCATAGATTAGCCTGCATTATAAACTTGAGACAGGTAAGCCTGCGTTCTAAACTTGAGCATTGCATCTCATATCATATCTAGGCATAACAATATAACTATTATTTCTCTTTTAGATTCAAGTATTTAACCCGGCGTTCGCACAGTTGGGTCTATTTGACCCGAGCAGTTTTCAAATGAGCGTGTTTCTTAAAATGTTTGTGCGACTTTGCCAAACTTCTCAGTAGCTGGAGCTAATGGTCGCCCCTCCACGTGGGATTCGCCAATCAGTCGTGTTGCGGCCGCAGCTAGTGATAGACACGGCCAAACACGAAAAAGGTAAATATGACCCAACCATACTATTCGTGTCGTAATTTTGCGCCGTTTAAAAAAATGTTTTATTGTTGTTTTATATTGTTTATTTTGTTATTTTTGGCAAATATGTCTGGAATAAATGCGTAGATATTACATAACGCCAATTTCTAAAGAAACTTAAGCCTTATACTGGTTCGTGAGCATTTGCGCAATCGTAAAGATGTCATTCAGTTGCCAAGACTTATGCGCAAAAGAATAAGAGAGTTTTTAGGAGTAGGTACCTGATGAGGAGCCACCTGTGCAGATACTTTATGTAAGAAAGAGATGCCAAGACTGTTCTGCCAAAAAAGATAGAAAACTAATACTTTTCGGAGCTGTATATGCAAATACATCTGCAGTGAGCATGCAATGTTGGACTGCCGAGATTGCGCAGATGATAAGGATACTATGACTGACATATGAGACTGATACAAATAGTATAATATTATTAGTTTACTAAAGATTTGATTAACATGTAACAAATTAGTTTATGTTATAGAAAAAAGTTTGTTTTGTTAAAATTTTATTACTTTAAGACAGAGGTTGTCCATTTTGTTAATATTTTGTGACACTTTTATGAAAATGACATTAAAAAGATAGTTTCGTATCATGTTGTGTTTTTTTCTACTCAAAACCTATAACGATAATCGTTTTATACAGATAGTACAACCACAAACCAAATTTATTTTAACCTTTGTAATTATGGCGTTTTCTTATACGGGTCCTCTCGACCCAACCCTACTGTCGTTGATGCATATTTTGACTGTGCTGACGCCGGGTTAATAAATAAGTAGGTATACATAAATATAACTATTGATGTATATTTTGCGAGCGAGAAAAATATTTTCTTAACCATTGTGTAGATTTTATTTACCTTTGGGATTCAAAAGCAATTTCCACTGCTTTAATGAAAAAGGAATAGATTATTATGATCATAATAATGGAAGTAGACATATATATGAGAGAAAATACTGATCTAATTTACTTGGCTATAAACTCATCGGTGTATTTTAATGCAAGTTTTTAAGAAACGACTAAGTAATTGTAATTTACGCCTAGTTAACTCAAACTTATCATATTATTGTTAAACATGGGAAGTGTGCAGTCTTTTAATAGACATCATTACATTATGGCAACAATATTTTCATAGAAAATTGGAGCTGTTTGATGATAAATTAATAATTTGAAGGACGGGATGTGTACAGTGGAGTACCTACCGATGAATAGTTTATTTAGTAGGTGCTCTTCGTAGCCTCTGAGGATGCAACATAAATAGAGAAGTTTGAAGTCATCTAAGTTTCTTGAAGTCATTATAAGTAGGTCCTTATTGATAATGGTAGTTCTTCAAGGACTCGTTTTTGGCAGTCACACGCTTGTTTTTCCTAACATATTGTAAATATAGCTTTTAAATAAAAAAAAAACTGTCCTGTATTTATATCTGTATACAATTCTGATAAAAATGAGTGATATTTATTATATTGGATTTTAAAATAATTTTTAAAGGTCCGGAATTGTCTCACATCTTTGTAATAGTGCCGAGGATACTCAGTTGTACTCTGCATCTATGGAAGACTAACTTACTGTTCGTCGTTGTGCTATAAATTAATTATCAATAAGTTATTCTTCAAGAAAAATCTAACAACCCAGAGCAAACAACTTTTGTGGTCACATTATACATAGTAAAAAAAAAGTTTTTCGAGTTCACGCCATACATTATCAATAACTTAAGTCATCGAGATTGTTCATATGTATATTATGTTTTGATAAGTCTATAAATGCGACAAATATATCGGAATATGTTAAATATCGTAATTTACGTGACACAACCTTCGTGGCGATTTGCCCACGAAAATGATTAAACATGGAATGTTGAAAGTTAATTTTAGCTTTAGAATAATTTTGATTGCTTATTCTCTTGTCTGTTTCTACTATAAACGAGTATACACATATATAGTCAGATGTAATAAAAGATTTTCAGAAACTCAGAAATACAGTGATTTTTGGCAGTTAATTTAATCTTGAAAAAAAATCTTTTTTCAACCGTGTGAAACCGGAGTTGGTACTAGTCTCTAATATTTGCAGTTACTCTACGCATTATCGGACAAGCAGAGGATGATTTAAGAAATTTGTTGTTATGTTGGTAAGTTCGTTTTGGAACTTTCGTGGACACAAAAAAATCTAAATTAAATATCTCGGTGAATTATGTATCAATTTACGTATTTCATAGTTATAATGTTTGATTATTGCGTCTTCTTTAAAGTAATAATTTTATATTTTCTAAAAACTCAATTTGATATTTTGCCACGATAGTTGCGCGGAGAACGCTTTCCAAAGAATTACTCACAAGACTTACCTGCATAGAGCGCCTGCTAGAGCCTGAATTTGATCGTGATAAGTTAGGCGCCCGCCGCTTGGTGGCACCGCGGCCCGCCAGGAGGTTGTTGAGCAGCGATGGCGAGCGCGCGCAAATAAACGCGTGGAAAGAAGACACCGTGAATACACCCAGCTTATTCAGAGTACTCTTCGTACCGCGTGAAACGTGTGTCAGCAAAGACTGAAAAACATCCACTTATAAGCACTACGCAATCAATTACCTACGTGACACAAGTTGCCGATACAACACCTATATATTAGACAACAATACCATCAAACTCGTCCGCGTCATTTTCATTTTATTACTCCCATTTGGGTCAGAATATGTGCCTTAATTGAAAAAGGGTATATGTACCTTTGATCTAAAAATAACATAAAAAGCCAAAGGATATTGGTATATCCGTTCATCAAACATATTTATGTGCAAAATTGTAGACGATTTTATTATTTGTGTGTTGGGAAGGCATTTTCGACATGTCATGACATGGGTCGCGTGGAGTAACAGATTGTAACCTCGCGCACCCGGTTAGCGGAACTGTCAATTTAATAGCGCCGCCACAAATTTCCTTTCTGTAAACCTTGACAAAATTTGATCTCGTCTTGTTATTAAATGACGACAGATCGATCGTAGAAATACAGTAATTAACTACTCTGCTATTCAACAAATTCGAACATAATGTCTAACTAATACTTGTTTTGGATGAAATAGACCGAAGAGATAGTAATATAACAAAAGACTTACTTTGGGGTTTGGAAGCTCTCCACTTTGTAGGCTGGCCATATAGCACCGTAAACGGAATTGTTCGCAGTGTAGTCTCTCAAGGTTTTCTTCCCATTGTAACATCTGAATAGCTAATTGAGCTCGGGTTTCGGGATCAGATACTACGGATTGCTGGAGATCAGCCATGTGTTTCAGTTTGTGATCCTGTGAGAAATTATACAAATATTAAAAAGGCAAGATTACCTACTAAAAAATAAAACCATTGATGATATATTTTTTAATTGATTTAGTTGATTCGGGATGGGAATTGAAAATATTACGTTCGCATTCACACTGAGGCTTAGAATTGAAAAGAACCAAAATCAATCATCAAATCTCATTCTATTTGCGGCTGAACGTTCGAGTTTACTGTTTAAACAAGATTAGGCGCGTCACACACGTACTTTGCTTAAATATTTCCGTATTCAAATCCACTATGTGGTTCACGTGTGCTATGAATATTTATACGCGCCCTTTGTGCCTGCCTGACTGTAGCAACTATCCCACACGATAAAATAGATTATTTCCAACTACAATCGTGCGGTCTACCTTTATAATTGCCCAGCCAGAATAGCATGAACTCTAAAACTTTGGAGACCTTAAATGAAAGTTACTATGTCCACATTGCGAATTCATCTATTTGTAGATGGCGTACATCAGGTTCCCCTATTTATATTGGATTGCAAACATCGTTGTTTAAGCATATATTTGCGTTTAGTAGGCAAATATGTAGTGGACTGACTACCAACAGCCACAAAGGCTTTGATGCGTACTGCGGTCGCTGTGTGCGGGGTCAGAAATTGGAGCGATATATAGGAAGAGTGCTTCAAATCGCACTGACCCACGCCTGGTCAGGACGTTTCCTGCACATTGGTATTGCGAAGCCAATTATATGACTGTTAGCCATTAAATTTGTAGCAGTATCAACACAAACGTTCGTGTATCAGCAGACACTGATACTTTTAAATTATTATACAGGCATGTAGGGTGGGGGAGACCGGGAGATTGCTCAGGTGGGAGAGTTGAACCATCTTTCAAAATTCTATTTAAATTTAGCGTACACAAAACATCAATACGTCCGTCGGTCACATGCGTGACGCCGATCAGAACAAATAAGTTACGCATGTGAACAATGAACGAATTAACATTTCGTTTGCGCTGAATTTAAATACAATTTAGAAAGATGATGAAGATTTAACTCTCCCGGTTTTCCCCTACATCAGTCAAAAAAGTCGAAGAAGAAAGAAAGATAAATATTATGTTGAAGACCTCCGTGGCCGAGTGGTATGTACGCCAGGTTTCATGGTGTCGCCAACTCGAGAGGCCGATTGTCCCGGATTCGATTCCCGGTGGGGGCAAATGTTTGTGTGATGAATACGAGCATTTGTACTCCAGTCATAGATGTTTAATAGGTATTTCTACATAAATATACTTATAGATGTATCAGGATATGTATTATATCCGTTGCCTTAGTATCCTATAACACAAGCCTACAGTGCTTACTTTGGGGCTAGGCTATATGGTGTGAGTGTTGGAAATATTTACTTACTTATTTATTAATCGTACTTTCAGAAGCTATTGTAAGTGATAATTTAACTGACAGACAATATAGGATTTTGTTTACTTTTTCCCCGTTAAAATCCATTTGTCCATCAAAATCGAATCGAATACTTTGGGATTTTTAATTTAACTGTTTTGGATCTGAAAGTTGCATAAGCTACGTGATAATCTACACTGTGTTATGCAAATTCACTTCTCATACTATTTTTGGGGAACGAAAGCTTATTTTGCCGCTGTACTTGCAAATTTTATTAAAATGAACGCGGTTGCGACACCTATTTCTGGTGGGAGGCTTGAATGAGTCTTCGCTTGTAAACGTATTCACAACGAGCTCTGTCTGTAGGCAAGCAATAAATGTATCTGCATAAATTGGAAATGGTTACAGTTCGCAAACAGTGTGCTGTTTGAAGTTTATAACGTCCAACTAGTAACAACGTGGTATCTGAGATTGACCCTTGTGTTATTGTAATAAAGTCGAGGCTCGGGCAAAAGATTGACCAGCAAAGGTAGTTAGAGATCGTTCAAACAATGCTTTTGTTAGTTCGGACCAGCCGTTACATAACAGTTAGGGTCGAGTTGCATATCTCACAAAGCATTCATGTTTCAATACCTATACGTTTTCATTTTCTACTATACTGAACTGGAACTCAATGATTCCGAAATATTTGCTGTACAAGTACCTACTTATGAAAGTTACGAATCTGTTGTTAAGTGGTTAAAGTACTTACGGATTCGATAGCTTTCTCGAGGCGATATATTTCTTCCTGAAGTAAATGAAGTGTTCCAGTTTTTGGGTCGAGTTGCATATCTCACAAATAATTCATGTTTCAATACCTATACGTTTTCATTTTCTACTATACTGAACTGGAACTCAATGATTTCGAAATATTTGCTATACAAGTACCTACTTATGAAAGTAACGAAACTGTTGTTACGTGGTTAAAGTACTTACGGATTCGATAGCTTTCTCGAGGCGATATATTTCTTCCTGAAGTAAATGAAGTGTTCCAGTTTTGCCGCGGTGCCGAGCAAATGCCGCAGCGCATGCACTGTGTATGCTATTCACCCAATTTTCTAGCTCCACCTAGGAACATTGAATAGGTATCTTGTTATGATAATTTTTCTACTAAAAGCTTCTGTTGCGCATCGAACAAAAGTTCATTATTAAACAACGGCCGTTCCCAATAACTATCTCCGGTAAAAGCTAAGCTGTCTAGAGGTACAAGAAATTCTATTTACAAAATGAATTATGAAATAATAAAATTCGTCTGATAACAATGTCACTTTGGGAAAAATGGGAAGGGTCGTTAATTAACCTTAATATGAAAATCATACCTGACACGGTGCTTGAAATAGATAAGCATCACCAAATGCCGTGCTCAAGCAGAAAATGTAGTCTCTTTTAGGATGTTCAGGTATTGGCTGCATGATGGCACCATCCACTATGATAAGATGCTTGGGCGCCGCTTCTACTGAACGCCCTTCGCGAGAGTCGCACGGATAGAAAAGCAGAGTAGTGCCTTTCAGGCAGACCCAGTAACCTTTCCAACCACGTTTTCGGGCCAGCTCGATCTGATGTTTCTTACGTAGTAACCATTTCTTCACACTCAGAAATCTGTGTAAAGATAAAATAATATGTAATCCAATTTCTAAGCAAAGTTTCCATAAAATAACAAGAATTTTATGTGGTTTACTTAATACAAACAGAAGAAGATAATAGCTGCAATGATTTCATAACTTGTACAAAATAGAGCTCATATAACTCAGGTATTTAATTGTCTGAAAACGGTAAGAAGAATTTAAATTATCTTAGGAATATGTTAAAATAAAACAAACTTTTGGACGAGTACCATTTTAATTTAGAACTTTTAATAATATTTCACAAATATTCCACTGTAAAAATCAAATAATAAATAAAACTATCACTATCTCTCGGCATTTTCTATTGGCTGTATCAAATTAGTTCTTTTTAAATAAAATAAGTTATTTGCTTTTTCGAGTATGCCAAAGTACACAGCGAACATAACGGTCATGTCGATTTTCTTGTCGACTTCACCTTTTCTGCAAGGCAACACGAAGTGTTTCTTTACGAGGGATCGAATTTTGTCTATCGGGACTCCTCTGGTCCTTTTCCCGAGTATTTCCATTGCCCAAATAATAACGTTCACAGGAGTCGGAGCGCGCTTTTGTCCTTTCTCCTTGGAAATCTTGAAATCGGTCCTCACACGGAATATAGTTGATATTGTTGATTCGCTATTAGACATAATAAACTTATAAACATTATGCAGTGATTATAATTATTTGCCAATAGATTTTGCGGTATTTAAAAGGAATTTTCCATTTTTTAATTATTTAAACGGTACATACCATTTAGGTACTGTAAAAACGTTATGTCATGATTTGACAATAGACTCACCATAAAGTTTAAAATCGATGAACGTAACGTCACTTTACGAGCTGATTAAAAATATGTTTCTTTTCTATTCATTTCAATTTATACCTTGTGAAATCACAAAACATAAAATTTGCGTAATGTAATTCGCAATGTTTAATGAATTTCGTTACAAGAAATTTCGTAGCTTTTACTTAATACTACGGTTTCCTCGTTTGGTTCTTGAAAGATATTTATTTCGGGTGAGGGTGACTGCGGTACGTAATTTGTTTCTGGATATCGCGGAACAAAGAAATGTGATCTTTCCTTTGGATCAATAGATTGAACAGTTTATGTGAGAAAACCACAATAAAAATAAAAACCCGCTCGACTTGGAAACATTATATTTTAGTATTCGCACAGAGGCAAATAAATACATGTCATAAAAATAAGGAAGTATGATATGACTATGTTCCTATTAAATCTATGGTTACTATTCATTTGAAATTATAGTAGTGGTCATAAAGTAATGTGCTTTGTTAACCAAATCATGGTTGCGCTGTTTTGGTTCTATATTCAACATTTTGGCTAGCCAAGAAAATATTTACATAAAACTGATCTACAACAAATAACGACCTAAGCCATAAGATATGATAATAATAATGTCCATGCATGATGTTGTTAGAGAGCATTAGTGTAATATTCTAATAAATTAGAGTCAGAAAAATAAATAAAAAACATTTTACTCAGTAAAATTTGCATATAGGTATTAATACCGATCAATGAATGTAAGGCTACGGGAACTATTCAAATAATATTTTAAGCATCGTTGAACTAGTTTAACTAGCGTCATGGATTTATTACTATTCGTATACTATAGGTACAGACTTTTCAATGCTTATGTTATTACGTTATGAAAAAAAGAAAAACTTGAAACGAAATCTATAATATAATATAAATTTTAGTTTAATCATGTCTATGAAGTGAAGCTTACATGGTGTAACAGGGATTGAAAAATTATTTGGGAAAACGAGTAGATATTTTATGTAGATGAAGTTGTAGTGATCCACTAGGTATAGTACAATATTGCTTTTAATTTTATAACTTATGTGATATGAATTCAACGATGCTCTTTGTCTCTTTTTTCATTAAAAACATATCACTCGGCTCACTGTCGACTTATAGGAGACCGATGAGCTCATCTCCCCATTGCGACGAACTATATCGTCCCAACAGCATATTGGACGTCCTGTCAGTCAGGTATTTGATTAATGTTCTTCCGAGAGTACGCTTACGAGTTCCGTAATGCAAAGAAAATAATATGTTTACGTTATATTTTGTTTCCATCAAAGCTAACAGACGACTTCATAAAGTGACGTACCTGTTTTGGATTCGCTAATTCATGTAGGTGACATAGATTTTCACTTAAATTTTGACTGATAAAAATATGATGTTACAGTTGTAGTGGACAGGAATATAAATATATTTTTGAAATTAACAACAATAGCAACAGAAAAGTTATGTCAGAGAATTGCTTATCTTGTTTTGTTAAGCACAGAATTGATTCTTCTTTTGATCTTAACGAATGAGTATTATATTTTGTCTCAAACGATTTCAGTTGATCTCGATGGCTCTTTTCTTGTTAATTGGGAAAGCATAGTCCATCCAATTTATGTGTCATAATTATCAGCCTAATTAATTTCCCTACTGTTAAGGCACTGACTCAAAACCACTATGTCAGCCCAACGCGGGTTGGGAGCTTAACAATTTAGCTTAACAAAACACAGAACAATATCACATCATCATCATCTTGTAAACTGCTTAGATCCGAAGTAAACAATCGTGTAATGTAACAAGTATGTACAGATTCATTATTATTAAAGTTATTTTTTGAATTTATTATTAGCGGGCATTGATATTATGATGCCGGAGGAAATGTCACTGGAACTTTTCGAATTGAACAAGAGGGTTTCTTAACGATAAAATCTAGAGTGCTCGCCTCTGGAAGAAGATAATACATAGGTGATTCGCTAAGGGTGCTTGTTAACGAGACTATTTCTACCCGGGCCGGTGGCGGCTTAGCTTGTTCACGAGCACGGAACTAGTATTGTGTCTCCTTCCCCTCTTTCTTTCTCTCTCTTTCTTATGCTCATCTCACCTCTGGTAGTGCTAGCAGACTCTTAAACTATGTGTGTTAAAATTTCATCCAAATTCGTTATGCCGTTTTTGCGTGATTGAGTAACAAACATACAAACTTTAACAATTATAATATTAAGTAGGATGACTCCCTTTGACATATATCTGTAAATTTAAAAAAAAACCTCAGAACATATATATGTATATAATAAAAGTCAATATCATCTATTGACACACGGTTGTTTGGTTTAAACTACTAAAATTTGGCACGCAGTTAGTTATTATGACGTCGGCATCCGCTAAGAAAGGATTTCCCAAAATAACCGCCTAAGGAGTTAATAGGCGATGGCACTTTGTATGAAACTTTGTCAATTAGAAATTTGAACATTGCAATTTTTTATTTGTCCTCCAATAGTATAGGTATTCAACACAGCCTCTGAAAAGTCAAAACTGGGGGTGAAGAATGTTGTTCACGTGAGCGAAGTTGCGCGCGGAAATTTTGTGTAAAATGTAAAAGCAAACCCCGCAAACAAGTGAAGGCTGGTTTAAAAAGAGATATCGCGCAATACGCTGTATAGGGCGAGAATTGTTTACCCCCCCGAAAGCTGCTTTTAGATGACGTTAAAAGTTTATACTACGACCGCTGCTTGCGAAATTGAATAAAAATCAAGTTTGAGTTTGATAGAACTGTCTTGATTGACAGAGGAAGCTTGCTGAAATTCTGCTTCGCTTATAAAACCTCTTCAATCATATTTAAACCACGATTTAAATATGACTTCTCTGGCTAAAATGCATTAACGAATTATGTACCTATTTGTTTAATTCATAGGTAGTAATTTAGATATGTAGGTAGTAATATATTTTGATAAACGGTATTCTTGTTTTATTTTGTGTTTTAACAGGCCAATACATAATAATATTACGTAAGATTTTGTCACTAAATAAACTTTTTTTAAACACCGCCACATTTTTTTCTTTTATACTTAGCATAACGCATTATTTTTTGTTTGTATTTACAGAATTGCAATAATATATTTAAAGTTTTAATGTTATTATTTTGTGCTCAGGCACTACTTCGTCTGCTTATTTAATTAAAGTGGTCGTCAAAGATTAGTCTGGAAATATAATTTGTATATTCTTATTTTATAGATGACGTGTGTCGATGATTTGGTTACTGAGGCCCGTATTACAGAATGACAACTCAGAGTTGATCTTTACTTGAGTACAGTTAGAAAGGGATGGCGCTATGTGCTGTATATAGCGACATCCCTTTCTAACTCAATATTTAATTTCAATTAAAAAAATTGTTGGAAAGCTGTATATGAGATCAAATACAACATTTCTACAGCAAACATAATGTAATTTATCGGCGTTAGTTTGGTTTCCAGTCAGGCAAGAGCACAGCAGATCTTTTATCTAAATTCACCGATGAAGCCAATCATCACCTTAATGAAAGAAGACACGTTTTAGTTTTGTTTATAGACTTTTTACGTGCTTTTGATGTGTTATTGCATGATCAACTGATTAATAAACTGGACAATTGTGGCGTACGAGGCCCTCTGTTGCGCTGGTGTGAGAATTATTTAAAAAACCGCAGATTTTCGGTTAAAATTAATAATAGCTTTAGTAATACCATACGGAGGGCACGGCGCAGGGTTCAGTACTCGGACCTTTGCATTTTCTGACATATGTCAATGTCATGAACAGTTGCATCGCCAACTGCACTTGCTATCAGTTTGCAGATAATACTTGCCTTGTTATCGGCGGTAAAGATCCCCAATCGATCTGTGATCTTTTGCAATCTGATTTGGATGCCCTAACAAGATGGTGTCATGACGCTGGATTGGTTATTAATGCTGGCAAAACTAAACTGTTAATAATAAAGTCACCATATGTCAAAGAGTTGCCACTAAAAAAAGTCATAATCCATGATCATACCTGCATATATGGGACTTATAATTAATAGATAATATATTTAATTGGATACACCATATTGAGAATGTATGTAGTAAATTAAGGCAATTTCTTGCATACATAACTATTCTTAAAGATCGCATTCTTTTCAAAGTTAAATTAATTTTATATAATTCACTTGCAGAGTCACACATTCAATATGGACTTAGTAATTACGGTCGAACATACAAATCCTACCTAAATCAAATTAATAATCTTAAATTAAAAATACTTAAAACTATAGTCTGTAAAAATATTAAAAATTAAAACCGGGATAATATAAATGGCATTTTCAAACACTGTAAAACCTTACCAATACATATGCAGGTTCAATATGCTTTACTCAAAGAGCAGTTTTTTAACAATTCTTTAAAAATACCAATTGAATCACCTGTACACACTCGGGCCACAGCTAAGAATCGGCTTTGCGAGCCGTGCGCAAACAATGCATACGGTGAGCGTACAACTACCCACCTTTTGCCCCGACTTGTTAATAAATTGCCGCCAGAATTACAAGACAGCATTACATATGAATGTTAGTTATAAGTTAAAAGATTACTTTCTTAATTTGCTGTAACTCAGTTGTATAAGAGCATTGTACATAATACTATGTTTTAAGTTATGCAATAAAAATGTAAACTCCGATAGCGCAGTACAAACCTTAGTGGTTTTAGATGTTATCGCATGCCATTGTTTAATGATATTTTGAATATGGTAATAAATAATAAAAAAAACTATGCTCAAGACTAGATCAATCACTGAGAATCTTTCTATAATACGGGCCTAAAAGTTTATATTTTAAGGCCGTTTATTTTTAACTTGCTGACAGAAGTCAACAGTTCTTGTTCCAATAGGAATTCGGAGAAATCGTGATTTACTCTCGTAATTTACTACCTAAATTGAGGCTTTCATTGTAGGAAAGGCTAGGAAGGTAGCGATTAATCATCGCAAAAGAATTAATGTCCCATACATAAATTGCCCGTGAACGCATGAATTAACCACTACTATGAATAAAACGGGTGAATTAAGCCTGATTTATTAAGAGTTAGGCAAACGCTGATCTAACAGTTTTCCGCGCTGACTCGTTCTTATAATAATGAGCGTTGTAGAAAATTAATTTAACGCGTGTAGCACGTAAGCCGTGGGGTTTTCGTGACTCAAGCTTTTGAAGTAATTGAGTGGCGCAATGTAAGAGTTTCATAAAGACACTTTTGTACCACAGCGTTACCCTTCACGTCTCATACCTTGACTTTTTACAACGCCATTGAATGGGTCATGGCTAAGATTTCCCTCCGGTCATTTGGGATTCATGGAAGAGAAATTGTAGCCTCAAGGAACATAAAGGACGCCGTAAGCTTTTTCTAACAGAAACTCTTTGCGAGGATACGACGTCGCCTTTATTTCCTTCCGTTCTTGTTTTACTTACATTTATTTTAAGTCTTCAGAGAGATACGTATTCTATTTAACTTTTCTCTACTCACATATTGGCGATACGTGTTTATTTTAAATGTTTAGCTTGTAAATTTCCACGACAGAACAGATGTATTTTTTTCTTATTGAAATTATTGCTTCAGCTTTGATCGGCTGTGTACATTTTAGGTCCAATATTTAAAAAAAAGACATAAAAATATATTCACGTATCCTGTTAGCAATGGATTTAAGTATTACCGTTTCAGCCGAAATGGCTACATCTCGCTGTAATACGATAAGCAAAAGGTGCCGGCCGCCGCTTAGGGAACTCCCAAAAGAATTCCCACTTTATTGAATTAAGTTTAAAAATGAGATAGGGATGGATTGAGCAGATTGCATGCCTAACATTTCATAATTTTATACAGTACTGTAATTTCAACCCTTGGTGAGATAGCTCTAGTTGAGTTTCTTTGGAGTTGTTTTTGCGTTGTTGAACTCCACTTCGTCATCGTGTTAGTATTCATCGTGGGTCAAGGAACTATGAAGAGTGTGCTTACCCGGGGGCCTTGTAAGTTGCACATGAATTATCGAGGCATATAGCTATGTTACTCTAAACGTTAGAAAAACTCGAGTAATCACCGATGATGACTTGCCTTGAATTATAACCAAACCAAAAGTTGACTCAGTAATTCTGTCAACTCATTTAGGGTGAATGGGGGAAATTAATTATGTACATATATCTTGACACGCTAGTTCATTCTAAATGTATGTTATTCACTTGAAGCCTTAGCCACATTAGTTAATTTCATCCACATTTAATAACTCCAATTAGATTTTTTGGGTAAGATCCTAATTAAGTTTGGCTCGATTCTAATTTTCAGTTCCAAATAGTACAAATTAAAATCATAATCATTTTGTAGATATTAAAATTTTCTAATTGCCCGAATAGAAATGTTTGTTCTATAAATTTAACTTAATTTTCACGTAGGTACAATTATATTTCTTTTTATGAAATCACATATATAGTAGTAGTAGGTTTTCAATAGCACTGTAATATGTTGGTAAATTAATATTTCGAGTTGTAAGTATGAAAAGTCTTAATTTCGAGTAGATGGCCAAGTGCCCGTCATTATTTCTTCTTCTTGGAGTTAATGCTCAAGGGTTTTGCCACAGACAATATTTTTATATATTAAAAATAAAACAACTTACCCAGCCTTCCTGACGGCACCGGTGCAATTGAAAGACGCTGCCGCAGCGCCAGTCTGCTTGCCTTTGTAAGGCGAGTTCATGGCGCTCTCTCCAGGGTCCTCTTCGTCGGAAACCGCCGTCGTCAGGGACATGCGATCATCGTCCGATATCTGACAATCAATGGAAACAATCAATACTTATAGCATTAATCAGTATTTTTAGTGAGGTTGGAATTTCTGCTCGTACCTTTGCTTACTGCTTGTGTTAGAGCGCCTTACAGGAAGATTCACCCTTACGATGGTAACAGTCAACAAGAACCTCATTCATACAACTCGGGGTTCATCAAAAGAGACTTGAAGAAACATTTGAGCAAGCTAGCAAAATGAGTAAGTATAACTGATGTGGCTAGTAAAACTAATACACTAGCTGTTTACGGGACTTTTAATATCAGGTGTGCTTCATCATTCATCATTTGCCTATTACATTTGCATCCATAAATAGTAAAAAAGGCTTTAGTGTTATGCAGGGAATGCTATCAGTCCTACGATCATAAGCACTAACATTTGATTTATTTTTCAAACTCCATAGTACTAAAGAAAGACATAAAATAATATATTATCTAAGTATAAATATCCTGGCGTTCATGCTAATATCACGGTACAAATTTAACCGTGCTAATGGGCAGGGTAGGTAGCGTGCGAGTGATACGTAGGTCTACCAGACTGCAAGCCCACCACCTGGCGACCCGTAATTGAAAAAAAAAATGATTCATCAGACATTTACTATACAAGAGGTGCTTTGCGGTTTCATCCGCATTAAATTGAGTATAAATGTTACAGTCCGCAACCATTATAAGGTAAACCTATGTTGTCGCCGACTTTTGTTATAGAACTTTTAAAGGGAAACAATTCCGTCGTACGTGATTTCTGAAATGCAACGGTAACTCTTAATTTACCCGCTTTTGCAATAGTCTTTATTAGTGCTCCGCTACTATTTGTCGTAGCGTTATGTTATATAGCCTAGAGCCTTCCTCGATAAATGCTTTATCTAAAACAAAAAGATTTTTTCAAATCGGAAAAGTAGTCCTGAGATTAGTGCGGTCAACCAAACAAACAAACTCTTCAGCTTTATAATAATAGTAAAATGTCATTGTTGGGTATAGATTTTTGGGGGTTGGGCATTTTCTATGAGAATACAAATAGAAACGTATGTAATTAGTATTATATAGTATATATTAATCATATAGTACGCATAACAGCAAGGAGAACGGGTCAATTAAATGTTCTTGTATTTTCTGTATATGATTAAGAACTCATTTGTAGCAACTTGATTACTATCGTACATATTTTAATTAAATTTTAGATATTCATACTATCTAAAAGTTACATGTGGGCTTGCATAACTTTTTCTCCTACGGCGATCGCTTTCTTTTCTAGGTTAATATATTTGTTATATCTCATTGACCTTGATTGATTTCTTCAGGGTAGGTTACTCGCGAGCGTATCTCGGTGATAAACATAAGAACAACATGTTATCATTTTGCACTTTGATACTTTGCTTTCTACAATGTATATGGTGAAGAATAATGCTACAAAAAATCTTAGCCCTGAAGTTATAAAATCAATACGCAAAGTTAAGAGACAGGTTGATTTCCAAACTAACAGATATTCCAAAAATTATAAAAAATTGGAACGAGCATAGTTCGAATTTCTTACCGTCAGCAACACTCCAGGCAAAGTTCGCCATTAATTTGAATTGAGAAATGAGCATGGCTGTAAATTTGGCAAGGGTGAAAATATTTTTTTAAAAGGGAGCTTTCTCTTTCGTCACGTCCAAAGGAAGGTTCTTACGTTCAGAGGTAGCCGCCTTATTTTATGTCGCAGTCGTTTGAATCGAGGTTTCTGGAAAGACGTTAAGCTTAGTAAAACGTGTTTTTCGAACCGTGAGCATATTTGTTTACTGCTTAGTAGATTTTACTTAAATCTCATTCAGAACTTTGGAAAAGAAATAGGATAAACAAGCATTTTTCGTGACATAATATGTATTTAAATATCTATATAGACATGAAAGGTTAGGCAGGGTTTTGAAAAACTCATGGTAGATACATTAATTCAAATAAACTTTATCTAATTGCCGGCGTCATTAAGATGAACTGTAAACTTACTTACTTACTTACTTAAAATATCGCCATTCATGAAATAATATTTTATTTTTGTGACGTTATCGTCACTCTTCATCTAACATAAATCAGAGCGGAAAAAAGGGCTCTCGTACGGACGTAAACTGCTCTATCAATCTACCTTCTGGCCCTCGTATTCAAATATATGTGAATCTCTTGTTGAAAATATTTCCGTAAGATGCGGGCGAAACGACGCTGGGTGGCAGACGTCATTTTAAATGCGTCGTGCAACAACATAAGTTACATTTACATAGTTATGCACATTCATATTTTGTAACTCCCTAGACCTCCCTCCGCCTTGGGAAATTGTTACGACGCCTTGCCCACCTTAACGTAGATGCGCAAGACGCAAAAACGAGTGGCATAACGAGAGTTTCATTCCTTTACCCCCCCAATTTATATTTTTAAAGAAATCTTTCGCAATGAACCAATTCTAAACTTCCAACGCAACCGAGATAGTTAACGATCAATGAGTGTTTGCATTTTATATTTAGCAGCGCTTGTAAACTATTCATTTTATAAAAAATAATTAGGAACTATTATTATTAAATATAGTAGGTTATTATTATGATTTTTGAAATAAATTTATAAGAAATCCTTATTATAATTATCCTATTTTTATGTTATGATATAAATCAGTAGGTTTATAAATTACATTTTACTTGAAAGAAATAGATTTAACTATTTATTGTTATGGAATAAATAAATGAAACACTGCAGGGAAACGATAGGAACACGTTTAAAGTAATCATAACATAATATAGGATCTGTTTCCTAAATAATTTTAGACATGAGCAAAAAAGAGTTTCAGTTCTCTTACTTACAGCGAAGCAAAAGTGCAAGACAGAAGAAGACCACAGTAAAATTAATACCTATTGGTGGTGTTGTGTTTCTGATTCTGATGGCGTAAGTGAGGGTCTATGAGTGAGGGAGGCTATGAGTGGTTAGTGCGTTCGGTCTGTGATCGTGGAAGATAAGCAACTTTCGAAAGACTAGTCATCTAGAGCAATCCGCACTAGGCTCGCTTAGTGGCCCATGGCCCTATCTCCCTAGTACGTCCATATGAGAAGGCTTGTGTCCCATCAAAAGCGACATTAACAGGCTGATGATGACTATTTGAGTGCTTTACATTCATCTCAATTTATTTTTATTACTGCAATCGATTCTATTGTTTTAGTCAGTCATTTAGATTTTTTCATTTTTAATTTATAACTTCGTTAGGTATTCGCAACTTTCAGGTATTCACAAAGCTTTGAATGTTCAAAATATTAAAATTATATATTGAAACTAGAAAAAATGGAAAGTGACGCTGAAAAGCGCTTGAAAATCCGTTCAATAGTTTTTATTATCATCGAAACAGACACAGCGGAGGACAACTTTTAAAATAGTATAGTAAAACCACTGGATAAAACCTTAATTTAAAGATTTTGTTTTATACAGTACCTACTAGTGGGTGTCCGTGACTTCGACTGCGTGGAAAATTGATTTCCCATAAAATCTTCTGCCCCCCATTTCACCCCCTTGAAGGTTGATTTCTGGGAAACTATCCTTTGTCCGGGTCAGGGTCACCTAAAAATCGATATTTTTTTCTGTTTTCTCCTGAATCCGAATTTGAAATCAAATGCAATTTTTGAATTTCAGAGGTCCAGGGGTGATGAGGAGGAGAAGGTCAGGGACCTAAAAAGTTTTTTTTTCCTGAATACGAATTTGATACCAAATCCAATTTATGAATTTCCAGATGTCCCGGGGGTGGTGCGGGGTGTCAGGGTCACCTAAAACACAGAAAAAAATTGCGTTCCACCCAGGGGACCCACACCACGGGGAGGTAGTGGTCAGGGTTACATGAAAAATAAAATAAAAAAACCTGAATCTGAATTAATTTTGCTATCAAACACCCCAGATTCGCACGACATTCGCTAATTCATGGTTCTGATAAAAAAAAAACTGGAGTAGATTGTAACCTTTGTTGTCATGACAAAATCATGACAACAAAGGTTACAATCTACTCCAGTTTTTTTTTGTTGCCTCTAAGCTAGGTATAAGTCGCGTATTTTTTTATTGTACCGAAAATTCGTATATAACGCCGTGTCTTGCGCTTTTGATCACAAAACAATGCAACATGGAAGGAGTTGCTTTCGAGCGCATGCGGTCCACGCTACAGTACCTACGCTCTCAGCTTGATGGCCCTTGTCGCCTCTGCGCCGCCATCGCTTCCGCTTTTCACGAGAAAAAGGATTTACCAACATATAGGTGTAGCTATATACGTGTACCTGAAAGTACCTATTTATAATTGAATATAAAAAAAGATTTGACACAGAACTTTCGCGTTTTTGGTTTTATTATAGGCTGGTGCCTCGTCACACTTTGCGGGAGTATAATTAAGTGCATAGCTCGACATTTATACTCTAGGTTATTAAGAACCTGTTATTATCATGCATTATTTTAGCTTAGGTATCGCAGACTTTCGTTTACGTGTTGCTGATAATCAACATCTTGCAGAATAAAATGCCTTGGCAAATAGGGTGTTACATTTAGGCTGCTACCATTCCTATATGGGCACATAAGCCATTACAATGTGATCCCGGGAGTGTCGAAAACATTTTTGGTCACCTCCTATGACAGGCCATTGAGAAAATTTCCTAACTTCCACTATTGCATATTTAGCGTTGTATTAATGAACATTTATATTTGCCAAAGTCAAATCGCCATTGACTATATTTCCCAACCAAACTGTAAAGGAACAGTGCACATATAACTACGTTAGTTACATAAACCCAAGCTTCTTTTCCTAGAACGGCTGTTAACGGATATAAGATGATACTATGAAACATATGGATTATTTATATATGCATTATATCTATCACTTTCACACCCCAATTGCGTAGTATTTTGATATTGGTTGGGTCAAATGTGTTCTTTGGATTAGATAGAACAGTGAATTATATCGCAAATAGCGGTGGGCGTTTAAACGATAAGCGCTTAATTCAGCGC